GCAAAAATGAATTTAGAATCAGTGCGCTGACATTCCACCCTACAGAGTCAAATATTTTCATTTGTGGAGGATTCAGCCCAGAGGTTAAAGCCTGGGATGTAAGGATGTCTAAGGTAAGGGAAATCTTTTTTCTCTTTCTCTTGTAGAATGTTTCCTAGGTTGGATGTGCTGTGCATTACTAAGCTGCTAGATGTACTGGTCTTTCAATGAAATGTTATTCTGAAGTATTTTGGATTTGTCATTGATTGTGTTGCCATTTGTTGATATGAACCTCTGTAATGTTTTTGAAACACAGGGGGGAACATTATAGACAAAAAATATGATTTTTTGGCTTTATGTAAATATAAGTAACATATAGTTGAATTAAATAAAGCAAAGAGCTCAGTTCAGGATTGTGAAAAGCAGTTGTATACTAGGAAGCAATACAGCTAACTTGCTCTTTAAGCTGTTATGTGTGGGTCAGGATGTGTGTGCCTGTACCTTTTGCGTAGTAATTTTTACATTCATGACGGGCCACAGGGGGGCATGTATAGCCTCGGCCTTTAATTTATCATGAACCATGAAGAACAGCATGCTCCTAGCTGCCATTCTGAGCTCAGGTAAGACCAGAGCTGTACTCTGCTAGCAGAAGCATCAGACAAGCCGACAACTAGCTCAAAGAGCAAGCAGTGACTGTAAAGTGAGTAGTTCTTTGTTTTCCTTTGAATTTTTATGTGGGTAGATCCTACTCATCATAGTTATCCATCTGTTTGCTCTTGAGGGTGGCAGAAGGGATCTGAAAAAGATAAGATTGCTTATCCAGACTTTCCCTCTGACTTTGATGTACTAAAAATAATAGCTGAGAGATGTAGGTAGATACATTTCAGGTATGAGGGCTTCAACAGGAGAGCTCTGAAATAGTTATGCGAGTTACTTTATCGAGGAAACATGGTATTCTTGTACAATTAACAATCTAGTTCCTGTGCTGCAGTTGATCCTTTGGATTTGTCACTGATGGTTGAGAAAATAATTTAATTGTGTAGGATCTATACCATAGGCTTCCCTCACATGAACAAGTTCTTAAAAGAAAAGCATTAGTAAGTACATATCGAGACTGCCAAGACTGAGACTACTCCGAAAAGCAATTTACAGTGAGTTTCAGAGTTCCAGTGTCAGCATGAAACCTTTGTAAAAAGTGTGATGGGATTTACTCCACCCATCATGCTTGGTATGATGGCTAGTTTTCTTTGGTAAGGATACGAAGAGATACTCAAAGCATAGTTCTATGAAGGCAGATGATTCTAGTTTAGATTGCAGGAGTTGTAAATACTTATGATAAAGAATACCTATGTACCTTTTAAAAAAGTTATGAGATTTTCCATAGCAACTCTTTCCTCCCCCTGCCTTGCACTGGTATACAGTATTCTGGTGTTGTCAATAGGTGATTTTGGTACACTGTCTTTAGCGTCGGCAACTTATAGAACATGAGAATATGCATCACAGAAATGGGAAACAGTACCAGTTCAAAGGGTATTTGTTCCAGATGATCAGAGGTAACCCTGTAAATTTACTGTAGAACAAAAACTTTTTTTTTTTTTTGTGGCAGGGGACTGGAGAAGAAAGACTAATAGAAGTCTTTCTTGTCTCCCGAACAGCAGGGTCAGTGGTTTCATAGCATGCAAATGAAGTAGGGAATACAATTGTTCTCTCTTGGGATTCTCATACACAGCAGACCTTAATTGTGGGGAGGAGGTGCAGTCTGTAATTGAATACTTAGATGTCCTTTTTAACATAGAGAAGCCATTGTATGTCATGGTAGGCTGAACTTCCTTTAAAAAGTACTTTAGAAGCTAAATGGGGATCGCTTTTCTAAGGCTTAAAGATTGTTGACCGTAGTGTCAAATTTGAGATACTTGATCCTAGTCAAGGAGAAGATGGTAGATATAGGTGATAAAACATTCTTTCGGAGGTTTTCTGACTTGGTGCAGTAAGCTTTCCTGTAAATGATATTGTAGTTACACACAAAGTCAAATGATAGTGTAGCTGTGTACAAAGCCAGAGCCATTGTTTCACCCCCTGTATTTTCTTTATGATGGATTTTACTCGTATGTATTCACTCATACTTTGAGTGACTATCTCCAACAATCCTGAAAAGAAGATTTTTCTCTGTATTTGAAATCAACTGTGATTGCTAAGCATGTTCATGCCAAAAATGGCAATACCTCCAACTTGCACGTGTCTAAGGTACACCGTCTCTACGGATGGAAAATAACTGATTCTGTTCTATAGTAATGACCAAAGTGGCATGTTGCAAAAATGTGCCTGTCTGGATGGTAGCTCATGTTGGATATGGTTATGGAGGAATATGGTTAGAAATCTTCCATAGGTGGTAGGAGACAATCTCAGATATTGATAATGGAGAAGGCACTTCAGTCTCAAGGAAACAGAAGATTAATTTATGATGGATATTTACAGTTCAGGTGTTATGCTTGAACAAGATTTTTTTTTCAGTAGTTCTGAAACTAGAGATTGTGAAAACAAGACCCAAGGACTATACAAATTTGGCATTGACTCAAGTAGGGTTAAGGGGCTAAATAACAGATGTTAATACTTGTGCTGGATAAGTTAGTTCTGAGTCATCTCCTGAGTCTGATGTTCTCCTGTTGTCAGTATCTCTGCCACTCCCTGGCATTTTGCTTTTATCTTTGAAAGTGTTACGACACTTAAGTGTTAAGACAAATGTCTTAAAAAATGCTGTTCTTGGTCCTTTTTCCCCCTTGTGAAATGTCAGAGTTTCAATAGTGCTTTCCCTTGGTACCTGATGAGGTATCAAGCAGCATTTTATTCCAAGCAATGAAGACAGTAAATGTGTTCATCTCTTAATGCAGCTCCTTCCTTTTAGGTTTTAAATTCTGGTGGTGCCTCAGCTCAACCACAGCCAAATGGTCAGTTGATGAATCTGGCAGACTCTGCGTAAACATAGATTCACAAAACAGTTCCTTGTGGACAGGAGCAGTTACGGGACAGCACATGCTTCTTAATCTGGACCGAGGCTGCAAAGCAGCATGTGCATCCCAGGCTGTGATTCTCAACTATTGCCAACCACCTTAGCTTGCTGTTCCACAGAAGATGCCTCCTACAGAAATATATGCATCCCCTTGCTACAAGACTGGAGTTTGCTGATTGAGAAGGAGTGGTTTGACTGTCTTGTGAAGTCTTCTTGGTGAAACTGTTCCTGAAAAGCAGCAGTAGAGAGGAAGCAGATGTCCTTCAGGAATGAACAGTGTTGCTGAAACAGGGAGAAGGCAAGTAGAGAGGTGTAGAACATAGTTTACATGAGGTATTACTGCAGTGAGGAGCAGACAAATGCATTGAGGTGGAGGCTGCAGTAGAAGTGGAAAAGATAAAGGACAATGTGCAATTTGTGAGGTATTGGCCTTTGTAAAAGGTGGCAAAGGAGCAAACCCATACTGATAAACTGTAGACTTTAAAAGCCCACCCATTCATATCTTCTGTAATTCTGACTACCAGTAGCCTGGCTTGAGATGACGTTCTGATACAGTAACTTTTGTGTAGACTACATGTCTGCCAAAATTGCAGAGGAAGACGTCAGTTTTCAGTACTTTACCACTGCACAGTTATAAGAAACAGTAGTTATGCTTGGGATCGCCTTTGTGTAGGTTACAGATGTGACATTTAAGCTCTGTGTGTCTGCATGCAGAGCCAGTAGTGAACGCTTTAGGTGACAACACCTGTGATTCATTTCCAGAGGATAAACAGACACTGTAAAAATCATTTATATCTATGTAGAAGAGGAATGTGAATACTTAACATTTTATTAATTTGACTATACATTCAGTCTAAAACAGCCCTCGTTTTCTACTAATTAGGGAGTATATTATTTTTTTGAGATTCAAACAGTATTTTATTGTATCTTTATGCTTTACTGTCCAGCTGTGGTTTTTTGCCTCCTTGGTTACTGATCTTGGTATGGTACCTTTTTCAAATGGGTATAATGGGATATTTGTCTTTCCGTGGGCCATGCCCTGTGCACTTTAAATACTGTTGCCAAAGCAGACGGTACTTATGATTGTTACATTATGAATTTTCTTTTTGATTGAGAGTATTGCTGTTGTGTGCAATATGTCACAACACTGCGTGCTGTGACATCCTTCAATCCCATCTTATGATGGGATTTCTCAAAAAGCAGTGTGTTCTGTGGCCAGGATACTACATACAGGAAAAATGAGACTAGCAGAATAATGCATTTTTGTCCCAATGACTAACCATACACTTATTTTTGCAATGCTGAAGCTCCACCCTTGGAACCTGCCTTAAAGAGCTGTTGATCACTGAGGAATGCACGCAGTGGTTCTCTCTGTACCTGCAAGACACTCCAGTGCTTAGAAAGATTGTGTGTGAGACTATTTCCATAAGCTGATGGTAATGCAGAGATAAGGGAAACTTCGCACGTATTGCAAGGAAATAATTTACTTTCCGAAAAAATAAATTAGTGAATGAATGTGTATTCAGGTAAAATAGGAAAGGTTTTTGACTTAGTAAAACAAAACCCCCAGCCTGTTTCTTTTGTACAGATCCTGTACTGGGTTCTCCCTGGAAGTTTTTAGAAGCTGTTACCTGCTTTGTTCATTAGGAAACAATTATATTCATGTAGAACTTCACCAATTTGAAAACTAGACAGTTAGTAGTGCATGAGGAATATTACTTTTAATAACAAGCAGTGTCTAATCACCTTAGGAAGTGGAAGGCTTGGCTTTAACCTGGTAACAGATATTGATCCTTTTTTGTTTGTTTGTTTGTTTTTTATGTTTGCTCATTTGAAAACCCTAATTTTTGTATGTACTGTGATTGTCTAAAGCAGTCTCTTACTCTGAAACGTTTCCAAAAGAGGGAGAGAGCTTCTATTATCCTTTGATTTTTTTTTTCCCTGTCTGAGACAGCTGTAGCTCAGTAATGGGTGTGGGCTGTTAGACACCTACATTTGTAGTGGTTTTAAAATTTGAAGAACAGTGTATGTGTACTGAGTAAATACGGAAAGTCATAGCTGAGTGGAGAAAAGGGGAAAAATATCAAACTCCGATTTGATTTCTTACGGCTTATTTTGCAGAATGGC